TTTGGAGAGGATTGGAATCTTAGCTTATCGTCTAGCTTTACCGCCGAAACTGTCTCAAGTACATGATGTCTTTCACGTATCGATGTTGAGAAAGTATGAACCTGATCCGACCCACGTGCTAAATTATGAAGACATAGACGTGGACGACAAAGTGTCGTACGTGGAAAGACCGGTATGGATTGAGGATAGAAAGGAACACGTGCTACGAAACAAGACGATTCCTTTGGTTAAGGTGATTTGGCAACACCACGAAACGGAAGGAGCAACTTGGGAAAGCGAAGAAGTAATGAGGCATCAACACCCCCATCTTTTTGAATAGTATGGTTATTTGTAAATTTCGAGGACGAAATTTCTTTAAGGGGGGAAGAGTTGTGACATCCTCAAATTCGACCCTATTCGGAATGTAATGAAATGATGATTTTAATCGATGCATTATTAGTAATTCTCGCTCTGAATTGATCACTCATGAGAGACTAACCGATTGGGAAAGGCTGTTAAGGAATTAAGTACGCACGACCTGAGAACTCGATCAGGGATTGACAATTCGACCATAAGGATTGACGAGGGACAATTTTGAGCCATTATGGACCGATCAAGGGATGGTTATAGAATGATTCGCCAATAGCATACAATCGGATCGCGGGTGATTCCGTTTGACCGTTGTATGTATTGCGAACGATCCTAAACCCATTGACTGATGATCGCGTACTTTGGAACTAACGATTGATCCCTCGCAATTACATGACAATCGAGATCATCCATGGTTTGAGAAAACTTAAACGTGGTTTGATACCGAATCAACCACGGGTCGACCGCGTAACTCCTAAAAGCCGCCCGTTAGTTTGAGATATACTAAAGTCGCAATTGATTGATTTTTACCACGAATTAGAATCCGAATTTGGATGTCGAATCTTTGAGGATTTCAAAACTAAATTATGGGACACCGCCTCATTGATTTGCTCGTTTATCGGTTTACTCGAAATTCTCGGAAAAGGATTTAGCGGGCCGAGAATTTGAGCCCACGAGGAAGTGGGCCAGATGAAGGCACATTGGGCCTCAAGCCCAATGTGATTCGGCCACATGGGCCCAAGGCAAACCCAAGTGGCCCAATTTAGCCCATTGAACCCAATTTCAAGCCCAATTTCAATTCAAGCCCAAGTTTGAGCCCATTAGCATTTTCAAGCCCATTCATAATCCGTTTGAGCCCAAATTTGATTATACGAGCCCGTACGAAATTCTAGCTCGTATACGCGTATAAGTATTTTTATACCTTGTGAAATTACCAAAATGCCCTTCTTGCATTTATGACAAAGAAACCAAAGAAAATGATGAAGAAGACTTTGGGGGTTTGGCATTTACGTGGGGGGAATGATGATGAAGACTTATAGGGCATGCATTAAAGGAGAGAAATATCTCTCTTGTTCCCTCTCTTCTCCCTCCCGCGTCCATTCCTCTCTCTCTCCTCTTTCCTCTTCCACGCAACTTCCCCTTGTCTCTTTTTTAAGTTGCTCCTTCGGCTGAGCAAACAGAACAGCCCCTAGCTGCTGTGTTGCTGCTCTGTGGTTGCCGTGGAACCACCAACAGCCACGCCGTGACTCCCGCCGCCGTGCGCAACCCGTCCGTGCCGTTTTCCGTCGCCAATCGCCTCACCGAAGCCAAACCGGTTCGTGGCTGCTGTCCAGCCGAGACCCAGTCGTCGTCGTCTTTCCGTGTTGATTCCGGACCGTGCAAAGCGTAGCCCTCGCCGCCGCCGACGCACCGGTGTTTCCGGAATTTTAATCGGGTGAGTTATCGCCCTAATCCCTTGCTTAGTAGGTTAAACTTCATTAGAGCGGATTAGTTTAAGTTAATTGTGCTTAGTACTAATTGATTAGGGATTAGTGATAATCTATTGGATTAATTATATTATTATTTTATTAATTTTCGGAAATTAAATAATAATATTTTATTAATTTTCGGAATTAAAAATATTATTATTTTATTAATATTTTTGTGGAAATTCCGAAATTAAATTGTGTTTATTTTAGGCTTAAATTGTGATGCCTAAGCTAGAATTTGCCTTATATATTGGTTTGTATGCCAAATTGAATTGTTTGGTTAATTTTAAGTATAGCATGTCGGGTACTTAATTAATAAACCCTGAGGTGTCGGGTTTATTTGTTAAGTTTTATGTGAGAAATATGTTGTGGATACTTGAATATAGAAGCATGCCAAGTTTGGAAATTTATTGATATGTGCATAATCACGTGTGAATATTTTAGTACATTTTTATGTGTGAAAGTTGGATATTTCAACGTATTAGCACGGATTATGTTTGCATCGGCTATTGAAAATTATAATGATGGAACCTGAGTGTTGCTATGTGTGCATGATCACCTAAAGGTTCCTTTCGTGCCCGGTTATATCGGAAAACCGTATACCGGATGACCGCCAACCTAGGGTTTGGCCGTGGCCCTAACGGGTGTCCCCAATTTGGTAATTGGAAGCCGTCGCTGGTAGCAGGGGAGACGTAGTCATTCGCGAATTGGATTCGGAATGAACCCATTTATGGGATATGCCGTCATTGTGGTTGGGTGAGACGATGCCGTGATGCCCGACGGGCGGGACGATGCTCGGTTATGCCGGAAGATTGCCAACCCGATGTGAATAACGCAGTTGTGCCGTAGCCCCCGTGTGGCTGTAGTAATTGGAATACGCGTGAAAATTATGGTAGCATTGCGCTTGATTATGGAATGAAATTGTTAGACACGTTATGGGACGGGTCAAGCGGTTTCACTTTATAATCGGGACACGTGTGAATGCATTGTACTTGAGAAAATTGATGCGTATTCTGATTGTATTATATGCTTATTGCATTATTATGGCATACGGTGAATCATAACGCATGGGCGTGTGCATGTGCCTGGGCAAGGTAAGGTTGCTCTGATGATTGTGTTGTGAAGTACCTTATGTTCTATATTGAGTTGTCTGCCATCGATGTATCGTTGCATGTTTTAGGTACATCCGAGATGAGTTGACCTCCTAGTCGAGGCTTAGGTCGTGAACTCGCTGAGATTTATCTCATTCGTTGTTGTTAACCACTTTTCAGGTCATCCGAAATGAGTACACGTACCGTTCCTTGGGAACCGGCTTTTTGAGGGAGAACACCTTTTGAGGTTATCCTCGTAGATAGAGGAGCTAGGTTAACCCCTACCTGTTCTGGTTGTAATCGGGAAGGTTCGCGTGGCGGACTTGTAATATATTAACCCGATGTATTGCTAATGATGTTGTTTAAATTGAGGTGTGTTTTCCTTACTATCCCGTTAATTGATTGTTGTTGGGTGAATTAAGTTCGCTTCTGCATGCGTTTAATGGATAATGAGTCGATTGGGTCGGCGACGTGTCCTGGGACGTTGCATTTATAACGACCGTGGTGGGATGTTAGGGCGCTCGAGGGTCGGGGCGTGACAAAAAGTGTCAATCGATGTTAATATATAGATTAAGCATAGATCTAATCATAAAATTCACATTCTGCAGGCACACCGATAAAATTGGTGGATTTGACTGAATATATTGTGCTTGCTGGCAGGCTCGAACCGTACATTCTAGGACCTTGTCAGTGAGTGGGGCTTGGCCTAAGCAAGGGCTTTGAGGATCGGCCCCGTCAGCCCATAAATTATTAAAAATTTACATTGATAAATATTTATTTTAATATATCTACCTTGAAAAAAAAACTTTGTAAATATTGAAAAGAGAAATCGATGCTTAAAACAGAAAAAGAAAAGTGTTCACACTTAAAGTACAGTACCACAAAATTACGGAATTGTTTTCTATTTAAAATTCCGTTTTAACTATTATTTAACTCAGTTGTTTTTTCTTTAAAAAGTTAGACATAGCCCATGTGATTGGCCAATAAATTCCAAAGGGTGAGGTTGGCACTTGCCAAAATCCACCAAATTGGGTTTGGACATGACCTTTAGAAATTCGAACCGAACCTGTCTAGTGATCAGGTCTAATTAAGTGTATCTTATTACGTCATATTCAGATATGTTTTCCTCTATATATATATATATGATGTTTTAGTGTTCAAATCATTTGAAATTGCCACCACCAGCTCCGAGAATGGATGGGACAAGGTCCATTGACCATAATTGACTTGGGGATTGGGACTAGACGCCCCTTAATTCCCTCCATCGTAGGGCAAGGAGTGAGCTCATTCTTTTTATCTATTATTTAGCTCAGAATGATGTTGCTTACGAGGTGATGTGGGAAAGTTATGAGCAATCTCTGTTCCACTCCTGGCAATTTACGATGTGAATAAATCTCCCGAGAAAGTTCCTAGCAATCTCGTTTTGCCTGGACTCTACTTTTGTTAACCTTAAACGGCCTATTCTTAAAATTTCAGAAAATCCGTATTCCACCCGGCCCACCGAATATGAGTTTAAAATGGATTTGAGACCGACATTGCCACCACTAGTTAAAAATGAATGAGAGCTCGCAGAAAATCTCCACAAGTGAATTGGTCAGAATGTACTGTTTATAATTTTCACAGCCTAGTAATTTTAATTTTCTTCCCTCCAGGAGTACATCAAATTGTTTTATTTAACAACAACCCCCATATAACCAATTACAAAAAACTTTTTTTTTGTAGCATTACTATCACGAAATCTCACTTGTTTTTTTAGGGCAATTATACAGTAATTAGCTATCTATCAAGAGTTAGCTTATGATTACAAATTCGACAAAGAAAACATTACAAGTTAAGTCGCACGGATGGTTAGATCAGAATTTATATGCATCAAAAGAATTTGGTTTCTAGTAGAATATCTTTGATTCACCGCACAAGCTACTTTTCCGCAACCAATGGCTGTTCTGCTCTAGTATCTTCTTCTGTGGAGAAAACTACTAATTGATGGCCAAAGCGAAATAGAATAATGTCGCGGTCATTCAGTTATGTAGCAACCGCAAAGTCCACAAATTTCCAGAAGCGGATTGAGAGAGAGAGAGAGGGTTGTGTTCAAAGGGAAAATTAAAGAGTTTCAGCTTTGACCTTGCAGCATCCTATAGCAGCGAAGACCACGATGAAACTCCAGTCCTTTGACCCATTACAAATCTCAGTCTCGTCGATTTTTATCTGCCTCTCATCTCCAATCCTATCTACATGCGCAACCCTTTCACACTCTCTGTCGTCGAACCCTCGTTTCCAATTCTTCTTCGTGCGATCCGTTCTCGTTGATCTTCTAGTTCAGTCTCGCCAAGCGATTATGGGCCTTATATTGAACAGCAATCGGTTTCGGCCGATTCCGTCGATCCGTTATCTGAAATTAGCGATGGGGAAGAAAGTTACGCTCACACGCCTGTTGAAGATGGCCGCGACGAATTGCCCCGACTGGACAACCGTCTCCGCCCGCGGTGGGGAGTTCGACTTCGACCTGACTCGCGCGCGGCTGCAGGAGCTCGTCGATCACGCCGCCGCGCTCCTTGCCGCCTACGGCATCGGCCCCGGCAATGTTGTCGCGTTCGCTTTCCCCTACACCGTCGAGGTATGTCCTGATCATCGAGTCTGTTCACGAGTTACTACGCACGGCATGCCTTTGTGCGAGTTTTCGTTTGAGCGATGATGTGAATTCGAATGGGAAAATTCCGGATGATGCTGTTTAAATTCGAAAATGAAATATATGGAAGATCGCGGTAACGATAACTATTTAATGATGAGATCGATCACTTATGAGAAAGATCGACTAGCAGATAGCTTGAAATAAAAGATGTTCCTTGGTGTTTTACACTACTTCCGAGAACAGAGCAACGGAAATATGTGTAAGCATCGATCTATCTTAAAACAAAGTTAAAGCTTATCAAAAAGGAGATGGATGGTTTTGATGGAATCAACCAGTGACAAACTAGTTGTCTGCATATTCTGAAAAAAATATGTGTGTATCTCTATTCCGCGGGGACTAGTGTGATACTTTGCTGATTGGAAATATATGTTTATTTTGCAGTTTGTGATCCTGTTTCTGGCGGTCATCCGTTGCCGAGCCGCAGTGGCTCTGCTCAACCCGGCCTACAAGGCTAAGGAGTTTGAGTACCACCTTTCCGACTTGCGATCGAAGCTCCTATTGACACCAAATGAAGGAAACCAACTGGCTCAATCCGCTGCTTCCGAGCTTAACATCCCCCACCTAACCACCAGGCTTCACTCGGCCAATTCGAAAATCACTCTCTCTTCAACTAACATAGAGCCGGATCTCGACTCGATGTCCAAAGTTGTCAACGATCCCTCGGATGTCGCTCTGTACTTGTGCGACTCTGGCACCCCAAGTCACAAGTTCTTGGGGGTAGCTTGCGTCCCAGCTTTCTGCCGACGCATGCAGTTTACTCAGAAGGAACTGGCTATAGCGGTTGAGTATCCATTTCTCCAGGATCGACATTTAGTCCTTGCATTCTTGAGCTCTTTATCTGCCGGGACTACAGCGGCTGCTAGGTCCTCAGCATCGAGATTTTTGGATAAAATGATTTCAGGCAATGCCACGCGTCACACGGCAGTTGTTGGTCCTGGTGTACGTTACAGGCCAGAAGTTGCCCGTCCAGATATGCCGGAGGGAAATAATGCACCTACGACAACCGAAGAGAACAAAACCGAGACCGAGAGAGGTGGAGAAGAAGCGACATTAACGGAAGAGTTGGCAAACCTAGGTGGGACCATGAGCAATGATATGCCAGTGGGAAATAACGCACTTTCGATAGCCGGGAGAGGTGGAGAAGAAGACAATGGTAGGGCGACATTAACGGAAGAGTTGGCAAACCTGGGTGGGACCATGAGCAATGATATGCCAGTGAGAAATAATGCACTTTCGTCCGCTGCTATGGGGGGATGATACTCCATCCCTTTCACCCATTAGAAATCTCGGTCGCGACCGCCACCGAGCTCGCACTGCCAGCGAGTCTCCTTGATTTTTATCAGACTCTCATCTCCAATCCTATCTACATGCGCAACCCTCTCACACTCTCTGTCGTCGAACCCTCGTTTCCATTCTTCTTCGTGCGATCCGTTCTCATTGATCTTTGTGTTCAGTCTCGCCAAGCGATTCTGGTGCGCCTCCTCAATTGAACCGCGATCTGTATCGGCCGATTCGGTCCATCCGTTCTCTGTAATTAGCGATGGAGGAGGAACTTACGTTCACAGGCCTGTTGAAGAAGGCCGCGTCGGATTTCCCCGACAGGAGAGCCATCTCCGACCCCTGGGAGTTCGAGTTCGACCTGACGCGCGCGCGGCTGCAGGAGCTCGTCGATCACGCCGCCGCACTCCTTGCCGCCTACGGCGTCGGCCCCGGCGATGTCGTCGCGCTCGCTTTGCCCAACATCGTCGAGGTATGTCCCGATCATCGAGTCTATTCACGAGTTATGATGCATGGCATGCCTTTTGTGCGAGTTTTCATTTGAGCGATGATGTGAATTCAGACGCGAAAATTCCGGATGATGCTGTTTAAATTCGAAAATGAAATATCTGGAAGATCGCGGTAACGATAACTATTTGATGATGAGATCGATCACTTATGACAAAGATCGACTAGCAGAAGGCTTGAAATAACAGATGTTCCTTGGTGTTTTGCTCTACTTCGAGAACTGAGCAACGGAAATATGCGTAAGCATCGATCTATCTTAAAACAAAGTTAAAGCTTATCAAAAGGAGATGGATGGTTTTAATGGAATTGGATAATGATACAAATAGTCCATGAATTTTGACCCAATGTACAATTTGATCCTTAAACTTTCAATTTATTCAATGTAGTCCATGAACTTTAGCTGCGATCTATAAACTTTTAATTTATTTAACGTGGTTCTTGGACTTTTGGTACATATTAAATTTAGTCCCCGAACTTTATAAAAATGTTCGATGTGGCCGTTCATGGATCACATTGAACATTAACCTAAAGTTCAGGGATTATATTGAACAAATTGAAAATTCAGGGATCAAATTGCACATTGGGCTAAACTTCAGGGATTGTTTGTGTCATTTTCCCTAATGGAATCAACCAGTGACAAACTAGTTGTCTGCATATTCTGAAAATATATGTGTGCATCTCTGTTCCGCGGGGACTAGTGTGATCCTTTGGTGATTGGAACTATGTGTTTGTTTTGCAGTTTGTGATCCTGTTTCTGGCGGTAATCCGTTGCCGAGCCATAGCGGCTCTGCTCGACGTGGCCTACAAGGCTACGGAGTTTTGGTACTACCTTTCCGACTTGCAACCGACGCTCCTATTGACACCAAATGAAGGAAACCGACTGGCTCAATCCGCTGCTTCCAAGCTTAACATCCTCCACCTAACCGTCAAGCTTCACTCCGCCGATTCCAAAATCACTCTCTTCGACTGACATACGACCGAATCTCAACTTGGTGTCCAAAGTCATCAAGAAATTGGGACAACCGTCACATCCCAGCTTTCACAATTTCTCGGAGGTGGCTCCGTACTTGCACAACCGTCACATCCCAGCTTTCAGCCAACGCGTGCAGTTTACTCAGAACGAATTGGCTACTGTGGTTCTATCTAAAAAGCGTAAATATGCAAAGTCTCCTGATTCTACTGTGATTGAGTATCCATGGCTCCATTATCGACATTTAGCTCTTGAATTGATGAACTCTTTAGCTGCCGGGACTGCTGTGGCCCTCCCGGCGGCCACGGCAGCTGCTAGGTCCTCAGCATCGAAATTTTTGGCAGATACGTTTTCAAGCAATTCCACGCGTCACACGGCAGATGATGTTGCTTGTGTACGTTACTGTTCGCTCGTTTTACGACGAGGAATATCCTTCACCGAAACTTCGATTTTCGGTTTTTATTAAAGTAGGTCCTGTGGCTTGATTTCTAGGAAAATCGTGGTGAAAAACAGAGTGTAGTGCAGGGTTATATGGAAACGGGTAGAAATTGAGTGGATTGAAAATGGATCTGAGATCAACACGGTTTTTAACTATGTTACAATACTCCTATGAAAGCTGTAAAGGACTTGAAGGTTAACTAAAGCTACAGGAAGCTGTAAACGCAGGAAGTAAAAGTGCAGAGGAAACTAAAGTGCATATAAGCTTGAGTGTTTTTGCATTCTTGTCGCCTTCTCTTTTCTTCTTTCTTCTGAGTATTTATATCTCCTCCTATCCTGTAACTGCTTGTCGGTTACTTCTTTGTTTTCGAACTTTGAATCTTGGCGCTTTCAATAACTGCCTTATCTACCCACGTTTTCCAATTTCATTGTCCATCAAAACTTGATATCAACTGCTAGGATGACTTCCAATTTGGATAAATAATCTCCCACGATCTGCTCGTGTTCACTATCTCCGCTTTTTGCTCATAACTTCCTGTTGTCACGATTCACGTGGCTGGGTTGTGATCTTGCCGATTTTCGGTAGCTTCAACATTTCCCGAAATGTAAACTTTTCATGTTTCGGTAAAATTACCGATTCTCTCCAATCACAGAATTCGGGACATGGTGCCATTCACGCTTACTACATTCCCGAATTTTTATCCAAATGTACTTCGGCAAACGACTGAGCTCCATTGTCCGTCGGATTTTGACATTAAACCGACTTGACATCCATGCCGATTTTGGTGTAAACAAATGCCCCCTTTTAAAAGAATTAAAAGAACTTTTAATTCTTTTAAATGTCAAAGAAATAGTACCTATTCTTGACGTCGCTTCGTCACCTTGCTTCGCGCGCCTACCTTTTCGTCTCCAAAACACTTTCTATATAAATCGTTCCTTTTCGTTCTTCTTCATCTTCACCTTTTTGAATCTCTCGCAATCTTTTCCGACACTCTACTAAAATCCATGGCTTCCAAAGCTTCCAAGGACCAAACTTTCTCCTTTTTCGCATCGATGCCTCGACCGATATTATCTATTCCGGGATTCTAATAATTTCAAAGAAGGATCTCATCTGTTCTCTGTACAGAATGATTTTGAAGATTCTTATATCCTTGGCCCTGCTGCTCACAATCACTTTTTCGTTCCACAATGCCTGTCAAACCGCTTCCCTCGTCATCAGATTGAGGTACTTCCCATCCATGAGTCATCTATTTTGGTGTACCAGTGGTATTCTCGTCCTTCTCGCCTTAGGGCTTTCTCTGATTTTGATTCTGAATTCTATCAATGGTACCTTTGTCTTCTTCCTTCTAAGGGTTCTCTTTGGAATACCCTTTCCATCCATGATGCTTTGCGTCTTAGTTGTTTCGACTACCATGTGAATCGAGAACTAATTGGCGCATTGTCCTGTTTTTGGTCATCTTCGACCAACTGCTTCTTTTTCCCTTTTTCTCCTATGTCGGTAACTTTGCTTGATGTACATTGTCTTACTCGGGCTCTCTCTTTTGGGTACGCACCCGTCTACCCCTGTCTCTAGACTCTCATTCGCCGCTCGCAAATTATCTCGATTCGAAAATGGCCTACGGGACATTCATGAAAAACTACTTTAAAAAGGAAAATGCAATTACCGACGAGGAGCACACTGCTTTTCTTTTATACTGGCTCTGTAAATTCCTTTTCTGCCACCCTATAGTTAGGGTCTCGAACGATTTTGTTGCTGTTGCTTCTGCTTTAGCTTCAGGGACCTGGCTTTCTTTAGGCAAGACAATGTTGGCTTTACTCTATCGGGGTTTAGCCCATGCTTCTTCCTCCACTGCTTCAGATGAAGTTAGTGGCGTTTTTGGTGGTCCCCTTTGGCTTCTTCAAGCATGGGCAACCTTCTATTTCCCTGCTTGGTTTTCCAAGGATCAAGTTATCCAACCTCTCTCGATTTCTATTCCTGACCAACTAGTCTGCCAAACTTTGAGTAGGAAACTGGTCTCTGTTCCTAAAACCCCATCCTCTTGTTTTCGGTACTTTATTTCTCAAATTTATTCCATTAAGGAGAATCCACATTCTTTTTCTCCTTTCTTTACCCCTCAATTCAAATCTTACCTTCCTGCCTTTCGAAGAACAAAAGTGACTTTTGGCAACTGTCTTGACTTCTCGTTGATCTCCCCGTGAGATTTTCGACAAAAGGCGGGTTTTCGCGGCTTCAAATCTATTCTCCCCAATATCGTGCCGTGCAACTTGGGTTAATTCAAGGAGTTCTTGTTCCTGCTCTTTACACTTTCTCTGTTGCTTCCTTTGACAAATTAACTTGCAAGCTGAAGGATGATCAGCCTTTTAATGAGCTGACCACGTTGATATGGAGTATCTACCGATTGTCCCGTGTCATCGAATTCACTGGTCACTCTGATTATTCTTCAGCCGATTTTGACCTTTGGTGGAAGGATTATCAAAAGACTGTGTTTTCAGATCCACTGGACCTGATTCTTTCAAAAATAAGAGATGATGTTCCTCCTATAGCACCAAAAGCAATTGAGGCTGTGAATATGTCTCCAACCAAGTCAATAGAACCCTCCGAAGGTAATTTGATTCTGATTTTCAATATATGTTTTGCTTGATTTTCAGCCTCCCATTTAACATCATACTCTCGCAGTGAACAAGAAAAGAAAAACCTCAAACTCTATTGTCCCAAAGAAAACACCATCAAAACGTGGCTTTAGAAAAGTAACTATTCGTTCCTCAGAATCTCCAGAGAATCCTCCAACATCTGATCAATCTTCAGAGCTCAAGCTTCGAGCTATGATGAAACCGCGCCCACCAAAAGGTACTTCTCTTTCTCTATTCATGGAGACTAGCAATATGCATATTAGCACTAACCTGTACATCTTTTGATTAATCCAGATACTCCCAAGACTGATCCATCCAGTGTTGCTTCCCCTGTTCCTTCTCCTAGCAAGGCTCTTATCATATCAGCCCCAAATCTTTCACCAGTAATCCCTGCTTCTTCGATAGAAGTTACTGCTGAGTTGATTCAAGATCAACCTCCTATTTCAGATTCCCAAGAAGGTATACCAACGCAGGATACTTCTACCAATGTCATAGAACCTGAAGAAAATCTTCCTCTACCTTTTACTGGTAAATGTCATTGCCCTGTATTTGACTCGAAATTTCTATTCAGTTATCTGACATACATTTGTTACAGCTGCAGCTTCTGACATACCTGCTTCTGCACCTCAAGAGATTCCAACGCCTGAAGACACGATGATTCAGGAACCTTTGAGTGTGCAAGTGCCACCAACTTCTCAGATTATCACTGGTTTACCTCTCTCAACATCCTCTGCTGTGCCCAATCCATCTGCTCAGATAGAAATTTCCTCTTTAGCAGAACGGGAGGAGTTGGAAAGAATATTGGCAGGTACTCATCCCAGTTCTTCAATGACTGATGACTCCTCAGGGCCTTCAACTTTGTCAATGTTTGCCGAAGTTCCTAAAGAAGTAGCTAAAGCTAAATGAGAACAGCTCTTAAACCTATTAGAGCCTAGTTATGGGAAGTTGATCATTGACTCTAACAAAGAATGCCAAGCGAGGAATCTTTTCCGGGAAATATGCTCTGGCCATCCATCTTTTATCTTGTCGGATTCTTTTCAAGACAAGATTGATCTCTTCGCTCTTGATTTCGTAGATGCTGTGACTACAATCAGAGTCAATCTTGATCATCTCCCCCATCTTCTCTTTGGAGAAAGCCGAGGACTGGCAATCCAGGATGAGTTAGCCCACAAACGTGAAGATGCTCGTCTCTTCTATAATCATTTTAAAGTTGAGGCAAGCAAGCTTCAAAGATTGGAGGCCAGAAAAGCAAAACTTGAAGCAGAGCTGAGGATGGTGGATGCTCAAATTATAGATCAGAAATTCACAGTCTCAAACTTTTCTCCCACACTTAGACGCAAGATGCAGAAATGTAGGGAATTGGAGAAAGAGTTTGATAATACTATTGGGTTGGTTAGGGTTCATGAGAAGAAAAGGGCAGAGATTATGGATGAAAACTACAGGCTAGAGATTAGATTAAGAGACTTTGTAACTGAAGCCAAGACCCTATTAGCTAATTGGAGATAAAATGTCGAAACCATCTGTTGGATTCCATTCTTGGTCTATTTTGCATTTGCTTAATTGTAAAATATCCCGACAGAGCAAATTCCCGATGCTGTATATTCAAATGTAGGATATCCCGATAAAGCAAATTCTCGATGCTGTATATTTTAGCAATCGGTAACTCAAACGTTCTACCCAAATATCGCTCTTTATCTCTGTCTGGTTCCTTTGGATATCTGAATCAACTCAAAGATAACTGTTCCACTGCAACTTGCGTAACTGAAAGATCAAATGCTTACCTTTCCTATCATTCATTCTCTCTGAACTTATTGGCTACCAACTTAATAACTGCTCATCCACACGCATGAGTCAAATTCCATTTCCAACCTATCTCTCCGAGAAAATTCTGACACATCATCCTCCACGATCTGCTCCCTTTATAACTGTTTAAGCTTGCCACAGATTCCCTACAAAC